CCCTATATACTTTTCCTTCCTTTTTATGGACTGTCCTCCAGATTGCAAAGGATATGGAACGCTGGGCCCGCAGCCTCAATAAACAGAAGGAAAATTTCAAAAACAGCTTTCAGCCAGTCTCCTCCATACGAGAGGATGAAAGGCGGGAATCAGCCACAGCGGACGCAGGCTATGCTATCCTTGAGAAGAAGGTACAATTTGTGGGGAATGCACCATTAAACCAGGAATATTGTAACAAAACAATCTGATATAGGTAGTCCTTGACTTTCAACCACAATTGAACCCCAGGTTTTTGTGGCTCAGTGAAACAATTGTTAAGTGAATGTTGCCCCATTTTACGACCTTTCTTGCCACAATTGTTAAGTGAATAACTGCAGTTATTGTTAGTAATATGGTTGTTAAGTGAATCTGGCTCCCCTATTGCTTGTCAGAAGACCGCAAAAGATTATCACATGACTCAGGGACACTTCAAATGTTAAATATGAGTTAGTTGCCAAGCATCTGAATTTTGATCACATTACCATGGGTTGTTAAGTGTGAAAAACAGTCATAAGTTACTTTTTTCAATGCCATTGTAATTACAAATGGTCAATAAATGAACTGTTGTAAGTCAAGGACTGTCTATAGCTAATAAAGATATGCATGAAGATTCATCAGCATTTGTTAACTAATAAAGAACTATATTGGATGTTATTTCAGCATTAAAGTAAATATATTGTACAATTGCTGTTGCAATGTGGTATTTTATAAATGCAATCATGCAGAAAAAGAGGGGGAATTGTTATATTTGAGCTAATGTTCATTATTATGCAACATTCTGAATGACCTTCTTGTGTAGTTTGAGAGACTGCTGAGTAGAAAAAATATATTTTCATTAGGAAAAATGATTAAATACTTCCCTGCTTTCTTTTGCTTGTTCTTAGGGAGCACTGGCTGAGAGGCAGCATAGTAGCATGGACTTGTCCAAGTTTACGGGCGATGACCGGCTGGTAAGCTTTTCCTCTCGACTTTCTCTAAAATTTAAACTTTCTGGGTTTCACTCTGAATGACCTGAAGAATGGGTAAAAGATGTAGAGATTCTGCAAATCCGGCTGATGATTATTACATTGAGGTATTAAAATACAGAGAGACCAATGTTTATGTATCACGGGAAGTCTTGAACACAAGAACTCTTCAGTGTCGAAAGCTATTTCTGAGATAATCCAGAACAAGTGGGGATTATGGGAATTAACTCGCCCAGGGAACACTACATTGAAAAACCAGATTATGGTAATAGTTCTGATCCTGGCATATAATTCTCCCTGCTTTCAGAGTCCGCCCCGAGGCTTAGTGGCTGCATACAGTGGTGAAAGCGACAGTGAAGAGGAGCAAGAGAAGGCAGCTGATCGGGAGGAGAAATTAACTGATTGGCACAAGCTGGCTTGCCTGCTTTGTCGCAGGCAGTTTCCCAGCAAGGAGGCTCTTATTCGTCACCAGCAGCTCTCGGGCTTACATAAGGTATGCAGCTGACAAGAGCCTGTCGTTTTCAGTACAGGTAGCCCTTGACTTACGACCACAATTGAGCCCAGGATTTATATTGCCAAGTGAGAAATTTGTTAAAAGAAAGTTTTGCCCCACTTTACGGCTTTTCTTGCCATGTTTGTTAAGTGACTCCCTGCAGTTGTTAAATTAGTAACAAGGTTGTTAAATGAATCTGGCTTCCCCATTGACTTTGCTTGTCAGAAGGTCGCAAAAGGGGGGGGCACAAGACCCGGGACACTGCAACCGTCGTAAATCACGTGACCATGGGGGTGCTACAATGGTCATAAAAGTGTGAAAAATGGTCATAATAGCTATAGTACTTAGACTTTTATACCATTTCACAGTACTTTTACAAGCCCTCTCTATAAGCCATTTACAGACTCCGCATATTGCATATACGGTCACTAAATGAACTGTTGTAAATCAAGGACTACCTGTACAATTGACAATAGCAGCTAATTGGACTACTTGGATTAGAGGCCATGGGGGAATTTTGTGATGATTCTAGTTCTTCATAGGCAGAGCTTTAATAGTTTGAGCATGCAAAATCCAGCAAAGTGCCACTGTTCCTAGCCCATAAATTGTTAGAAAACAACATTTTTCTTGTCAACATGCTGAACAAGTTATTGTTTTGAATTAGTATTATTTATAATCTAAGACCAATCATAAAAGCAAACTACAACAAATGCAAAAAATATATAATAATTACATTAAAAACCTGAAACAGTTAATATTGTGAAAGAGATTATGTGAAGGAGACACCAAGTGGTTTATAAGAATCATGGCTACCAGTAAGAATATTGCAATTTTCATAAAGGTTTTTGAGAATTGATCAAATAGCAAAATATAATATTTTATTGTAAGAGCAAGTGAAATTACTGACAATGGGAAATAGGAGTTTTGATTCCCATTAGTTGTATAATAGGAATTTTAATAACATGATGTAGATTCAACCTTTATTGTACTTTATTGTACTGTATTGTATAGTACAGGCAACTACTGCTTTCATATAGAAGGGTTAGTTAGCAGTAGCACTTAAGAGTGTTTTTCACAGCCCCATTTAAGCGGTTTACAGAGTCAGTCTATTGCCTCCAACAATCCTCATTTTACCCACCTTGGAAGGCTGAGTCAACCTTGAACCTGGTGGAATTTGAACTGCCAAATTGCAGGCAGCTGGCAGTCAGCAGAAGTAGCCTGCAGTAGTACTGCACTCTAACCACTGTGCAACCATGGCTCATGTTAGCCAGTTGCCGGATAGGTAGTATCTCAGTGGCGCAGTGGTTAGAGTGCTGTACTGCAAGCCAGTCTGCTGCAGCCAGCTGCCTGCAGTTTGGCAGATCGAATCTCACCAGGCTCAAGGTTGATTCAGCCTTCCGTCTTTCCAAGGTGGGTAAAATGAGGACCCAGATTGTTGGGGGCAATATGCTGACTCTGTAAACTGCTTAGAGAGGGCTGTAAAGCACTATAAAGTGGTATATGAGTCTAAGTGCTATTGCTATCTCGGTTTGTGCCAAAGTCTCCAATGAAGCATGTATAAGATACTGAAATCTAGATCTGAGGAAGGGACGAATTATGTTGTAGGAAAGATAGGAAGCACTGCTTTGGATTTGAATATCTAAATCCTCTGCTTCAGTTTTATCCTGGCCAAGAGCAGAAAATGTCAGCAAGGAAAGCCAAATCATTGTTATTCTGCCTCCTTAGGATAAAGCCAAACCTAGCTAGCAAGACAGGAGATTTTAAGAACATGATAAGAGACCAATGCACAGAAAAGACACACTAATTTGCTGAAGTTGTTCCTAAATTACAGTATAATTCCTTGTAGTCTTTAGTACTACTTCACTGGAGGAAAGTTTCCCAAATGGGAAATATTAAATATTACTTTATATTTGATATTTGGTGAAGAGAAACTAGGTTTAAATGAAATTTGGTACCAAGCTTAGTTCAGATTGCTGTTGAATGAAAATCTGGAGGCAAATAATTGAAGGCTTGTCCTGTTGAATCTGAAACTGCGTATGATATTTGCCTAGGAAATGATGGAAGGTCTGTGCATGCTCTATTGGAAGTGAGATTTGTAGGGCTGCCAGAAAGCATTCTTTGTTGAGTTTGGATCCTTAGGAGCAAACATGGCTCTCCAGAGTGTGTTTTGATTTTGACTCTACCTCCACCCCTCCATTCTTCTATACTTTCTATACTTTCTCTCCCCTGCAGCAAAATTTGGAGATTCACCGAAGGGCACATTTGTCAGAGCAAGAGCTTGAGGCCCTTGAAAAGAATGACATGGAGGTACAATAGATGGGACACATAATGGGTGTGTGTGTGCACTACAAGGGAATCTTGTTATATAGGAAGCATCTCATCAGCTAACACTTACCCCTTTATCACTATTTTCAGATGAAGTATCGAGATCGTGCAGCTGAGCGAAGGGAAAAATACGGTGTTCCTGAGCCACCAGAACCCAAGAAAAGAAAATATTCAGCTGTGACTCCAGCCACGGTGTAAGTTTTACACACTACATGTTTCATTTTTAGAAGAGGTGTTTCTTAGCAAAGTGTCCATGCTGTTTTCTTTGGTCTTGTTTGGCAGAAGAGAGAGCTCTCTCTCTCTTAATTCTTATCTCTTTAATTCATCCTTTCCCCCCATTTGTAACAGGGATTTTGAACAACCAACACGAGATGGCCTGGGAAGCGACAACATTGGCAGCCGTATGCTACAAGCTATGGGTTGGAAAGAAGGCAGCGGGTTGGGTCGCAAGAAACAGGGCATTGTAACTCCTATTGAGGTAATTTTTCAGATTGCTTTATGTGTAAAAAAATAAGTTTTGTACTCTGGAAGGGCATGCGGTCTCTCCAGTTGCTTTCTCTTATTATATACTGGCTTTGCATAAAGTGAAAGTCTTTGAGTCTTATTGCATAGTATTAGAGTGTTGATAGATCAATTTATGTACATTGCCTTGGGTTTCTTCTGTCCCATATATTACTTTGTCTGTAAAAAAGGAAATTGCTGTGATAGCTAGGAAACATGATTTTTAAGAAATAGAAATTGGGAACAAGAACTAAACTGTTTCCATAAGAAGGGAGTTGATGGTGTGGCTGTATGACATCAATAAAATGATGTCATGCAATGAGAAAAATGGCAACTTACAAAATAGGGCAAAGAGTAGATCTATGATGAAGGGTTTTCTCCCCCACCCCCGCAACTTGTGTTACAATGCATTACCTTATTTGGGAGGCTCCGTGTGATTTTATTTTTCCTTCTCTCTTAGGCCCCAACTCGAGTACGAGGGTCTGGCCTTGGCGCCCGTGGCAGCTCTTATGGGGCTGTAGCATCAGAGTCGTACCGGGAAGCATTGCACAAGACAATGCTCACTCGTTTCAACGAGTCAGACTGAACTTTGTAAGAAGCACCTCCTGTACAATATTTTGCTGCTGTCTCCCCTTCCTCCCCTGCCTTCCAACTTTCTGAATGTTCTTTTGGTTGACTTTTTAATTAAATGTTCAAATGGACAAAAGAGGATTTTACATGGCTGAAGCATGTGGAAAATGAACAATACACTTGGTGCTCTTGTGACCATTAAGCATTTCCAATGTTCATTATGGGTAAGTATGTGGGTACAGTAAACTATTTTGAGTTTACAAGCTTTCCACATATAGGTACAAAGAGGCAGTAATTGTAGCCCTGACCAGGATCTTGTAGTCTCAATCCTCGGTGCTGCCATCTGAGATACCAGTCTTGTCTTAGCAAAAAGAAAACATACAGAAAACTCTCTTATCATCTCAACAGGCAGTCCTTGGCTTTTCAAAGGCTCTGGTGTAGCCCCTCCACCAACTCTACATAATGGGATTCTGAAAAGAGAGAAGCAGAGGAAAACTCTGAATGCATGGTACTCACTATCCTTCAAGTGTGTTTCTACAAAGAAACCTGTCTGTCATTTTCTCCCCCATCTCTCTTCCCCTAGTTTTTTTTTTTTACTTTGACCATAGCCGACATTGAGGACACCTACCTTGATCAGGTTGAATGTAACTATGTCTGATTAGAAAATCCAGCGCTACCATTGCGCAGTTGGGCTTAAAATCAGAAGATCCAATGGCCTCTCTCACCTGCATGGGAAGATTTACAATTAACATACAAAGGAGAAATGGCAGTTAGCCTCCAACCTCATGCCTGGACTAAGATAATGGCTACCATAGCACAGAATTCATGAGAATGTGTGCTAATATGTTTCCTTTAGCATTCCAAATAAAGTTAAACACTAAACATAGTAACGAGCTAGGAAACTACACGAGAGCTGTAGCCTACCATCTCTTGTTTGAAATATGCCACAAAGGATCCATAACGTGTAATCAGTTCTCATTGGGCTTTCCTGAGATAGATTCATCATCACCAGCAAAGAAAATTGCTTGTTTGTGGGAACAGCAAAGAAAATTGCTTGTTTGTGGAAGGCCTTATCCATGCTATCTTTCATTGTTCAAAAGGGGCAACCTTTATTGGTAAGCAACGTAGCACCTATGAACCTTATCAAGTGACCAAAGATAGAATTCTTGCACTTCTCCATCTCCTACTCGGGGCACAAATTCTTCAGGCAGCTCCAGGTCATATACAAACTGACATTCAGGATAGATGCCTCCATCTGACCCTTCATACGTGTAGCTGGGATAGGAAAAGAATAATTCAATCACACCAGTGACTTGAGTAGAGAATGTTTAGGTATGTTCTCATGTGGCGTAACACTGATTTGGGTTAGAGAGGAAGTGACCTCATTCAGAGGAGCCCAAGCCGTCTTTATATACTGCTTCCTGGATTCCTATGAAATTAGGAGTGACATTTAGACATCCATGTATGCTTTTTATGGATAAATACTGTGTTACATCAAGGCAATTTGTGGTCTGGAAATTCTACATATTAACACTGCTTCCATATTAGACATTATTTGTTTTCATGATTCAGCTGGAATATGTAGCAAACAAGAAAATCATTATATAGTACTTGAATGAGAAATTACTGGTTATAAATACAGTACGTTCTCCCAATGTCAACTTCAAGGGAAATAATATATATGTATATACGCACACAAGGAAACATAAATATTGCTGAACTACAATGTACCTTGGATTTTAGAACTTTCGACATTACCTGATAGTTCCAACAGATTTAGATAATGTAGCAAGGGAAGCAGGAATGCAAGCCTCTTCTTGGCACTCTTTTATTAGTGTCTCTCTGACACCCAGCTCTGATGAAATGCCACCTGCAGCCTAACCCCAAAACAAACAAAAAAACCACGTAAATTGTGGTTCAGCATAAAGCAAGCAGACAACGTTAGCTATTTTTAGTATTTAAGAAGGATCTTTTCTGTCCAACAAATAGAAGAATAATTTCTGAGTTGGCAAATTAGATGGCTTCAAGACTAGAGCTTTTACACACAGTCCCCCACTTACAACCATTTATTTAGTAAACATTCAAAGTTACAATGACACAGAAAAAGGTGATTTATGACTGGTCCTCGTAATTAGAACTATTGTCGCATGCCCGTCATGATCTAAAATTGGGTGCTTAATAACTGGCATGAATTTACTACTGTTACAGCATCCTGGGGTCATATAATCACTATTTGTGACCTTCCCAACTGGCTTCTGACAAGCAAAGTCAATGGGGGAAATCCAGATTTGCTTAATTACTGTGTATTTCATGTTAACTGGAGTGGTTCGCTTACCATAGCAAAAAAAAAAGTCATAAAATGGGGTGCTTAGCAAGAGAAATTCTGGTCCCAATCGTAGATCGAGGACTACTATATATGCTTTTAATTTGTAAGAAAAATGTCAGTAGGAAGAACTTCTCTATTTACATTGCTAAGAAAAATGATTCATGCTTAAATTACAATTTTGTATAGGTGATAAAGCCTTGTTTGTATTTTGGGCATTCAACCCATCTTGTGGCCTGCCCGAGCTCATTAAGTGATTTCTTTGATTGTATTGAACCAATAAGAATATTTAAGACAGCTGTTAGCTAATCTCATCTTCAGATGAGATATTCTGTTTGCCATCCTAGTTTGTCTCTTACCAGATTATCCAATAAGCCAGGATATGTGGGTTTGTTCAAGGCCCTACGGGCCAGCCACATGTGCATTTCATCATTTCGCCAAGTATAGCCATTCAGATGGGCACCATAGCACTTAACTCCCAATAGTGCTAGATCAAGAGAAATCAGATATGAATTTAGACAGCATTTCTTGCTGCCTAAACCAAACACCTACCTTTGCACTATATGTTCTGATTTTATGAGTAATTTCATCTGCTTAAGCCTTCATAACATATTTACTATTAATAGTATTTACTACTAAAATACTACATATGTTGGGGAATGTTGACAAGGAAATAGGATATTAAAGGAACAGCGAGAGTGTCCATAAACACAATTCCAATGCAATATTGGAAGAATTCTTAGCAAGTTCAAACTTTTCTCTAGAGCTGCTGAAGTTGATCCAAGATTGGTGATCCATTAAAAATACCCAAAAACCAATCCCAAATTTTCAATAATGAGAATTTTGCACTGAAGAGACTGCATTGTGGTTAATGCCAATGCAGAAAACGAATTATTACTGACTCTTCTGAAGTGATTTGCCTGTGCTTAGCTTCCTATACACTGATATATCAAGCCCCATGGAAGTCTGATACTTCTAATTGTTGAGTTTTATGGAAGAGGGATGCTTGGCATGAACAATTTTTTTCATAGCATAATATTGGTGAGGAAGAAATCTAATTTTTCATAGGAAAGGAAAATTAGTGTCTGCTTAGGGCGTTTTTGTTTTGGTGTGGAGTGATCTTGACATGCTTTATCCATATTCATCCTCACAATTTGAAGGGATACAATCTACCCTTTATGTCCACACTATGCCATCTGTTTTAAAATAAAATTATAAAATATGTATTCAAAGGCCTATGAAATTATACACTGGTATTCAGGAAGCAATATTGAAGAAAAAATGTAATTCTAAGATTAATAAAATATTCATTCCTATTTTTGGGTTGGGAAATAGGAAGAAAATATAATTTTCCTTTAGAATTGGTGAACATGCATAAATAAATGCAGATATTTATTTTATACACTTGCCCATGGGACACCTTAATAATAAAATAGTTTCTAAAACAAATGGAGTATTTACAGTATTTAAACAATTGTCAGTGCATATATTTATAACAATATCCGCAAGGAAGCTACATTTCTTCATTGAGATTTCTTCACTAAGGCATTTCTTATCTAAATTTCCTAAATACCATGTTTCTCCAACAATACGACCTCCCCAATAGGAAGGCCCAACATGTTTTCTAGGCATAAAATGAAATTAAGCCCCTGCCCCAAATTTAGGCCTATTTTAAAACATGCAAAATGGGGGGAAGGGCAGGGGGACTTGCCGTTAGGAGCGCCCCGTGGGCAGCAATTCCTCGCCACCAGCTGCTCCTAACGGGCGATCATGGCAGAGCGCGGAGAGCTCCCTACTCCTGCCAAGCACCTTTGCGGCAGACCCAAGACCTTCAGCGCCCGCCACTGTTGGTTTCCCTTCTGCCCATGCCGCCGTCGCATTTGGAGCTGCCACTTCTACGTTTGGAGCACCACTGCTGTTTGGAGCTGCTACTTCTGCATTTGGAGCTGCCGCTTCCACGTTTGGAACGCTGCCGCTGTTTGGAGCACTGCTGCTGTTTGGAGCTGCCGCTTCCGCATTTGGAGCTGCTGCTGTGTTTGGAGCTGCCGCTTCCACATTTGGAGCTGCCGCTGCGTTTGGAGCTGCCGCTTCCACATTTGGAGCGCTGCCGCTGTTTGGAGCACTGCTGCTGTCTAGAGCTGCCGCTTCCGCATTTGGAGCTTCCCCGTTTGGAGCTGCCGCTTCCACGTTTGGAACCCCACCGCTGTTTGGAGCACTGCCACTGTTTGGAGTTGCCATGTCCGCATTTGGAGCTGCCGCCGCGTTTGGAGCTGCCACTTCCGCGTTTGGAGCACTGCCGCTGTTTGGAGCACCACCGCCATTTGGAGCGCCGCCACCACTCCAAACACGGCGGCACCTCCAAACACGGAAGAGGCAGCTCCAAACATGACGGTGCTCCAAATGGCGGCACTCCAAATGGCAGCGGCACTCCAAACACGGAAGCGGCAGCTCCAAACGTGGCAGCGGAATGGGCAGAAGGGAAAGCAACAGCGGCGGGTGCCAAAGGTCTTGGGTCTGCAGCAAAGGTGTTTGGTGGGAGTAGGGAGCTCTCTGCGCTTCGCCATGATCACCTGTTAGGAGCGGCTGGTGGCAAGGCTGCCCGCGGGGCGCTCTAGATGAGGATGCAAGGGGGGGAATTGAGTCATCCCTGAAAAGACGGCCTAGCCGTTTTTTCGGGGCTCAAAAAAATATAAGACCCGGCCTTATTTTATGAGAAACACGGTAGATGAAAATAGTATGGACTCTGATTTGACATGAATGCCATTTGGTTGTGGCTTTATCCCATGTCTCTACACCTTAAAAAGAATTTTGTTAAATTGAAATCCCACATTTTGCACATAAATTCAAAGCATCATAGTGCACCGTTCTAGTTTTTCTCATAACAGCAGCCCAGTAAGGTAAGATAAACAGAAAAAATGATTAGCCCAAAGTTACCCAATGAGTTTCCATGACGGGATGGACTAGAATCTTGGCCTCTCTGCCCCAATACAACACATTAACATACCACTCTGGCTCTCTTTTCTAAGATAATATATAATTTTAAAAATTAGTTATTTACCGTGGAGTTATTTGCTTTTGCACAAGTCAGGTTTTTCCTCTACAGCATAGTGGCAAGATTTTTAAATTTTAAACTTACGTGCTGCAGCACGTTCCATCCTGAAGAAAGGTGTGTCACAAAAATAAGGCATTACATTGTACATCTGAAACAGAGGCATATTTTTATTAGTGAATAGCTCTGGTTTCGCACCCCACTGCACTGTCTTCCTTCTAAGCTATTCAGAATAGAAGCACTGGATTTTTCTTGCCTACATCTCTTCTATAGTCAGAAACAGAAGAGAATCCCTTTCCTTTTGCTTGGTTGCACCAAGTCCTCTCACCTCATTCCTCCACCCTTTCAAACAAGGAAAAGCTTGCTGTGCTTTCAGCTCCTTGAACACCCTTTGTACAGCAGCTGTCCTCTGGTCACAAGAAGTCAGTTGTTTGTTAAGTTCCACACATGGAAGGGCTTCATCTCTCTGAGACACTGAGAAAACAGTTGGGTACTGATGTAGACATTTGGCTACAGCCGGTGAGACATACCCTGCTTGTTGTCCAGCAACCATAAATGGGAAACACAGTGCCTTGGAAGAACCTGCAAAAAAACCAACCCAAATTAATACTCTATTGCAACTAAGATCTAGTTTCTACAAATAAGTCAAATCTGCCAAAGTGCTTCTTTGATCTGTGGGTTACTAACTTAACAACTGCTGTGATTCACTTAACAACTGTGGCAAGAATGGTCCTAAAATGGAGCAAAATTAATTTAACACATGTCTTGCTTAACAACAGAAATGTTGGATTCAATTGGGCTCGCAAGTCAGGGACTACCTGTACAAACCCAAAGATGATGTAGAGAAAGTAGCTTTTGCGGTAACAAAACTTACAGCAAAATCATTATGAGAAAAGGATTAATAAGAGTCCTAGAGCCTGAGGAAAAAATGCCTACATAGACTAACATTTTCTTCTTACAGAGGTAAAGAGGTGACTGTGAAGGTTACAAGTAGCATGCAAACAACCACTACTGAAAAGAACTTTATTATTGATATTTATCTGCATGATAAGTGTCATAGATAACTTTATTGATGGATTTATTCAATTTTGTTTCAAGCAGTTCAAGTTGATGACTTGAAGCTTCAAACTGCTTTCTTGGCAGATTACTTGAGCTTTTGCATTTTCTTTTCTGTACTTTTCCAAATCCTACAATTTTTTAAGGTGCAGTGATCAAAACCTGAATAGGGATATTACATATTACTGTACACATTTGTGAAAAGTCATTACAGCATCTGATTTTTTAATTCATTTCCTACTTATACGAGTTATGTAGAACTTGGCTTTTCAGAGCAATTGCCACAATTCAGTTGGCGTCTTCATCCATCAATTCACTACATTCCCAGTTTCTTCCCTGGACATCATCTCATCTCAGATTCACTCGGAACACGTAAAATTAAAACTTGCACCCCATTGCTTTTACATGACTTATCTTAAACCAGATTTGCCATTTGATGTCCGTTTCCCTGTTTGCAAAGAGTTTCATTCCAGATCGTTTTAGGAAGGCGCTGAAAAGCGTTAGTAGCAATGTTTGCAAAAAACGTCCATTTATTCCTACTCTTGGCTTTCTGCATCAGAAATAATTAAACCATAAGAGAATGCTCCTTTTTCTTGCTGAGGTCTTGAAAACAGCTGACGCAGAAAGGCCGCGGTCCTACCTGCTCCATGAAAGGAATTCATCGTTTTCAGCAGCTTCCGCACTCGTTCAGACCACCCTTCGGCCGCCATGGTGCCTCTTGTATAAAGCCCGCCCTCACCCCTGCTCAACACGCGTAAATCTCATTGGCTCGGGCAGTCGTTCTGATTCCTGATTGGCCTTCACCCTTCGAATTCCATCGGGAAGCTCTGTAGAACTCAGAGATCGAGGGAAGTAGCGCTTCGCCTCTTTTACCGTCGGAGGTTTCTCGTGTTGGTGTCTGGAGGTGACAAACAAGTTTAAAAACGTCACCACCCTTGCACGGAGAGAATTATGGCTTAGACAGGAAAGGGTACGACTCAATTCCAAAAAAGAATCAGAGGATTATTATTTTTTTAAAGAAAAGCTTCTAGTTAGTAGAAAACTTGGGAAGCGACCAACTATTGTAATACATAGGGAGTGAAAAGGACGTGGGTCTGCATTCATTGGAAGATCTCTGGAGTTTGCAGCACAGTATACTAGATAGCAAGGGTATCCAACTCTTCGTGGTTTAATAATGCAGACATAGGTACCCATCATACTGTTCTCTTTCAGAAAATAAAACTTTATCCAAAGTGGACAAAAGAGAAGTAGAAGACAAAGGAAATTGAAATCATAAGTGAAGGGGTGGGAAAAGAAATCTAATTACATTTAGCTGACAGCAACACTACTGGAGGGAGATGGATAGTTAAGTGTGAAACAAACAAACAAACATATACATGCATACATACTGTTGGCATGGCCCTTGCCTCGTGCCCATTAGACTCCCTGCCTTAATCTATTTTAACTTTCAAATAATTAAGTGGAAAGGTGATAAGTAAACCAGCAAACCACGTTTGTATTTACAAGAGTGGCATTTGATTTGGTAGAAAATAAAAATGATGGATGCCCACTACCCCACACTGTCTGGGAAAAAGATTTTGTAAGTGACTACAACATGCTTTCCAATATTCTAACGTGCCTTCTGAACCTAAAGGAATGACTGTTCTTTTGTTCATATGTTAATAAGGATTGTTCAATTTCTGTTTTTTGTGGATCAGAGGATTCAATTTTGGGAAACACTGAACCTTACAACCCAACTTCAGTGTGTAAATGACACAGCCAGGAAAAACTTCACCATTTGATTCAGGTAGATTTATTACTCTGACTTCCAATTGAGGCCAGGTAGATCCAACTCTTTCTGCCAGTCTGGTGATATGACTTACTGGTCCATGTTTATATAAAAGATGTAGAAATGTATTTCTTTAGAAAATAATGCCAAATACCAGATTAATATCTTCTATAATTGATTAAAATATCAAGAACGACCTAGTGGGAAGCTTCCATGCACCTCAGCATATGATCATGCTGGCCACATGATGATTTGAAATGTCTTTGGACAATGCTGGCTCCCTCGGCTAAGAAACAGTGATGAGCACTACCCCCTAGAGTTGGATATGACTGGATAGGGGAAACTTTTATCTTAATCAGAAATAATGTGCAAGAGTGTGAAAGTTCACTTGCTGTGTCATTGATTTCATTCTAATGTAGCTGTTAGCCCGCAGTGATATTATTCATACAGTGCTTAGTTTAGCCACTTAGAGCATTATGGAGAAAGCAGGGCAGACAATAACAATTCTGTTCTAATTATATTGGCTATCTATCTGGTTTCAATGTACCGCTGGCTTTGAACTTTAAAACACTCAACTTTGCACGATCAGGTCATCCAAAGGACCTCTTACCTCCTGAGAACTTGCTCAAGATTGATAAATTAAGCTACTGAATTTAACAGAAATATTACATATTTTATATTGGTACTTTCTTTCCATCGCTGGTCAAACACATGCTTCTCCTAAATGCTGGCCATAACTATGTATCTAGGATATACTTCTTATATAGTGGTATCTTGGTACTCAACTACTTTGAAACTTATCAAATTTGATACCCAACACATTTTGACATGAAAATTTGTACTTGTTTGGTACTTGACGCACAAGCTAGAACTTGTTGATGTAGGCTGCCTTGTGGCTCACTACAATATTCCTTGTGGGGAAAAAATTGTTTCTTACTGTTTTTGGTACTCATTGCACCTCCCGGAACCAATTAATGATGAGTGCCAGGGTACCACTGTATATTGAATTAAGTCATATCCTTGGTTTTTACAGTACCTCAAACCAGAAATCAACGAATTAGGCTAAGGAAAATTTTGAAAAAAGCTCTTCTCCGAGATTAAAAATAAGCTTGTATGTGGTATAGATGCAGCTACATGATGTCTTACTAAACTTGATGAAATACGTTGTATGAAAACAGCCAATGTGTGAAAATAGTTTTTCATTATTTAGTTCAGAGTCCAATAACAGAAATGTGCTGCTCTAATAGGGGCTCCATTCAGCCATAAATTTTAATTCTAGTTCAAAAGAATCAATCTTCAGTCATATTGAGTTAGGGAAACAATCTTCTTTATTTTTATAATTATTAATATTACACTTTGAATATTTTTACATTTTTCTTTCTATTCTTTTCCCTAAAGTGTCTGATCTCTTTAAGAATTTTTGTTATCACAATGGCCAGTAGAAAAATAACCAAACTCTTAGAAACAAAGACGCTCTTTTAGCGCTTCCCACAAAGATCAGGAGAAAAGAGAACCGTGGAACAGTGCAGAGTGGAGGCAGTTTGCAATATGGGGTGAGGAAGCAATGGGTCTAGAGCATATCACAAAGGGACTCATGGTTTACTATGTACAGAGCAGTTAGTGTCAATGGCTGTGCAAGTGCCCTGCTTTGAATCAAACAGTTGGGAATGCGAGGCTGAGTCATAAACCCTGTATAGTGTTTTGTAGGAAACTAATTTTCTTCAGTGTGGTTAATTTTAATTTAGACTTGATGGGCCTCTGTTATGACCCACCAAGTAGCAGAACCCCTTTGGGATTGTAATGGGACTGGGAAGTTGGAGCTGTTGCTTCATCTTTCCAGGTTGGGAATAGAACCAAGAAATTTGAGAAAATTATTGTTTTTCTGTGAAAGGTATACTGTAGCAAGAGATGCAGAAAAATGAAGCATTATTTCTTTAAAAAAAAGGGATGTGGGAAAAGTATTTTAAAAGATACTCCCTCTTGGCTATTTCATCTCAGGGGAACATATCAGTGGTATATCCTGTTAAATCTAGCTTGTTCTACTTGTTATCCCAGTCTCCAATATAAACCTAGTTGACTGGCTTTGCTCAGTAATCCACTGAAGATACCAGGTCATTCTGCTTGCCTGCTTGGGATTGTATAAAAGTATGGATTGGTATTGTCATCAAACTTTTTGGAAGCTGCCACACCCTGCTAATATGCTGGGTTTGGGTTTGGGTTGCTAGGTCAAAAGTCATGCACCCTTTTTTTTATGTGATCACGTTGCTCCCTTAGCTCTCCCTTTGGAAGCATGGTCTCCACGATCACTTTCCAACATGTCCCATCATTGCTAGAGAAGTGACACACCTTCTCAACATTGTACCATGATTAAAAAAAAGAAGTGCTTCCACCCCACACAAAAGGGTCTGGCCCAGAGGCAAAAGTATCTATGCCTAGTTGCTCCCCTTCTTCAAAGCTGGCCTGTTTCTGGAATGAATATTGCATCTTTGTACTAGAACCAAATACCTTAGGTACCTTTTTTCCCCTCATGTTTTCATATAAGGCAAAGCAGATGATTCACAAAAGTATCCAGATGATTGTCTTTATAACTGATTTCTTTTCCTTATAAATTCCATTGTATCATGAAAGAACTAGAACCACCTCCTGTACTAAACACCACTTAGATCGATCTATAGAGGTTATCAACAAATTAATAAATAAGAAACTGGCCTCCTCATCCTGCCTCGACATCTTAATTCTTCGTGCTTTACAGTTATTAAAACACTTCAAAAAATTGTATGCTGAAGGAGAGAGAGGATGGGCATTTACTCTAGAGCAGACTTTAAGCAGCTGATGCCATCTTCAGATACATTGGTTATGCAGACTGAGAATCCAAAGACAACCAGGTTAGGGAAGAATGTTCTAGAGCATTTTAGGAATTGGTTTGGCTGATGTTGGAGTCCAGCGGTTATGGATTTGACTGCAGGGAACGTTCAGTGTTCAGATCCAGATTCTAAGGTCTTTCCTACAAGACTGATATTGCTGCTTTACCAATAGCATCCAAAGAAGTTGCATCACTATGCCATCCAGGATGAAAGTTGGAGTCCCTTGGTCTTCAACTAGCAGAGAGGGAAGTGTAAAGAAAGAAGACTCTTGTGTTACATCGGGCTGGCTTTTCTCTTCACACCTCATCTTCAACAGAAAAAGGGTGAGGGTTCTGTAGCAAAGCACCAAATAAACTGACAGTCTTTCAAAAGACGGAGGACCAATGAGAGTTCTGTTCAGATGATTTTCATGTGCTGAAATCGAGATTCTTGGGGAGAAGAAGAAAACTGATCCCTCACTACATGCACAGACATACACACAATCTAGTATTAAGAAATGCCCTACCCTTGAAGTTATTTGTCAGGGATTAAAGAACAGAGAGCTGAGCAACAGCTACTATAATTTCCAAACTAGAAAATTGATGGTAAAAGAAAAAAGCAGGCTTCTCCAGCCAAAGCCTTGTTCTCTCTCTATGCAGTCTGTTTGAAAAAGTTTCCCTTTCTCTACCCAAAAACCCAGGAAGGCTG